GGTTATTTATGATGAGCTTCTGCCTGAATGCCACTATATACCCCTATATGTTGAAGACCATAAAAATTATCYAGGGAGCTCCATCTATAACATCAGCTGGCAAGAGTCAAACCTCCTGCCATTAAGAGGTGCTGCTGAATAAGCCTAATGGGTTATTTATTAACTTGCTTCGGAACRTGGACTCTGCTTGGGAAAGGCTACCCTGAGTCTCCTGCTTTTCCAYGGAAGTCAGTTCATTTCCTCCAGCCTGAGGCCCAAAGAAGCTTTAAACTGGGAATCTCCTGCTTCCTCCCTGCACTTCAGGGCAACATCCCTTCCCAAAGAGTGAGACCAACAGAGAACCAAGTACTTCGGCATGACATATGAAGCAAGTCATGATTCTTCTTGTTTTCTCATTTTATTACAGCTGTGGAGAGGGAGGACAACATCCAGGAAGGTCCTTCTGAACATCTTTAAATCTCTCTCCTGCTGAGAGTGCCACACAGTTACTTCATCTAATGCAGACTTCAGTTCCTCTTTGGGTCACATGCAAGTCTCCATCATGAGATGAATCTTATGTGCCTAGCCCCCACAGAATCACAAGGTAATTGAGGTGGGAAGAGGGTACAGCAGGTTTCCATCCAATCTCTGCATCAAGCAGGGCCAGATCTAAGATCCCACTATGATGCCAGGGTTTCGACCCACCGAGTGTTGAGAACTTCCATGGATGAAGAGCTGAAGATGACAAACCTCACCCTTGCTGCACTGTTGTTCAGGATGGAAAACTTGCCCAAGTGTTTGCACAGCATTTCTAGCCCCAATGATGTTTCCATGGGCCAAGCTAAAAAGCAGGCTCTCCGTGACTAAAGAAATGAGGAGATGAGGCTGCAGGACAGAGCAATGCCTTCCAGAAAGGGAAATACATTTTCAGAAGAGTTGGTTTTATGTTATTTCCTCTTGACAAGCATGACGGAGGCCAAGTGCTGCCAGGTCTGACTGAGAACACGGTCCCTTGCCAGGAGAACCAGCAAAACAACGACTCATTCTGAGAGTCTTTTAGCAAATCTAGCCTCTCACGGGTACATATATATACACATAAACGTGGTGAGACATCTAGCAGTTGGAGTGCACCCTGTGAAGAAGACCCAAGAAAGGCTGGCAATGCCCATGGAGAAGGAGAAGTGCCAGACACAACTGATGTGGGAGCAGGAATCTCCTCCCAAAGCGAGGGCATTGCTGCCAGCTCAGGCCAACACCTGGCAGGACTTCCTGCAACATCACGCCCCGTCTCCCCTGTCACACACCAATGCGCCACATAATCCCTTTGCAAACCCTTTTTTCTTTGTTGCTTTTAATGGCACCAAGCAGGCTGCTCACTTTAGGATGAAGGGGACAAAGATTTCATAGAATGAGTGGAGAAAAAATGTTGGCATTAGGTCCCGGACCGCAGCCTTGCTAGTCTCCTATAAGAAGGTAGCTGCTGCTCACTCCACATGCCGCTGAGCGCATCCTCATCCTGCCAAACTCTTCCATCCCCATCCTGCCACCAGTTGCAGCAGAGTTTAAAAAGAATTGTGCTGTGGTCCTTTCACTGCTCTGGATGGTGGCTTGTGGTCACTGGACTCTCCGACTGCCACTGGGAGCCCTTGGGGACACCACAGCCAGCAAGACGAGAGGGAATGGAAAAGATGGGAAAAGTTAAACACTGGGATAGCCTCAACTGGGACTTTCTGGCYCCCAGTACTGAAGCACTCCTACTTTAACAGCTTCTTTCCAAAAGAAATCATCTTAATGGCTCTCCTGTCATTACAGTCCTCACCCTCAGCTAGAGAAGCCCAAACACTTTGCTGCCAAATTCGGCGCTATGCTCTGGGTGGTTTGTATTTATAAAGCAAAGCGCCACACAGGCAAGATTTCCCATAAGCTGCTGATAGCCTTMAATGCTTCTTTTGTGTGCCGGTTCTTAAACCGTGTTCATCACGTGGCAGCACGACTGCCTCGAGCCTGGTTGCATAGAGGAGTGTCTTCTGGTGTGTGTGACCTCGGGTTCCCCAGTGATGCTACCTGCTACAGAATCCCTTGGTGCAACTTCACTCAATTTTAGCTAAAAAGCAGGACAGGAGCCTTTGTCTCATCTGCAAAAGCCCTGGCAGCAAATGTCCTTTGAAGCAAAGGGCAGTGCTGCAGCTTCCTGATGGCTTTGCAAGCAGGGCTGAGAGCGAACAGAGGGGTGAGGACCATGGGGTAGGAACACCTGCATTCATCCTTGGATGAACATGTGATCCAAATACATTCGAGAAGGCCATGGGAGAGGAGCGGCTCCTTCCTTGAAAAACACCCCAAATCGGCTCAATTTTTAAAGAGCCACAGGGCCAGGGTGAGAGCGAGCAAGTCACTCACAGAAAAGGGGAAACATTGGTCCCATCTAAATGCTACCCCAGGGGATTAGATAACACATAAGCTCCGTGCACGRTAATAATTACATGGCTCTGATTGATTTAAGAAGTCGCTATTGTCTCTGCTCATCCTAGAGACACTGATGAACCAACATCTTCTACCCATTTTCTTGCTGATGGAGAACAGCCCCTGTAATTTGTTAATGCCTCTTCTCCTCTCCTCTCCGATGGAAATCTCAGGCATGCCAGGCCTTGGGATAACAATAATACATAGATTTTGAGGGTATTTATAAGAGGCTTAAAACTTAATCCTACATGAGCAAGGTAAGCCTGCTCTTGGCCTAAAACAAGGCTGGAAAATCTGGTGCCATTGCTACAGCAGAAGAAAACAGGGATTAATAACAGTGAACACGCAGGGATTAATAACAGAGAACACGCTTTGAGTGGGGTCAGGCAACCACAAGCGTTTCAGAGCCAACTTCTGCAGCAGCATTACAGGGCCTCAGCAGTAATTAGGGAATCGTGGGCATTTCCTCCACCAGAGACCAAGGAGAAGCCATGAACTTCAGCTCCTGGTGCTCCCGAGACCTCCCCTGCCCTGCTCGCTAGGTCTAGCGCTTTTCCCCATGGCAGCAATTCCTGCAGGACCTCTGCAGCCCTACATAGGAGGGAAAATAAATCCCAGCACCGTTTCCAGTGGGTTAAAAGCTGCTCTGCAACTCCCCAGGGTGGGGGCTCATTGGCAAACACATAGCGGGGGAAGAAAAACTTCACTTTTCTGAAAAATAAAGCTATTTATCAGGGGTGGGTAAACACTAGCTAAATAGAGACCTTGCTCTCAGGAGAGGGAGAAGGGCTTGTGAGCCCTCAACCATGAGCTGGGGCTCAGCCCAGCTTGATTTTTGACCCTSTCAGAGGTGCCTGGGATGGGGCTTGGGAGCAAGAGTCCATCACATGAGGAGCAAGTCCATGGGCTGGTTACGTTGCAGGACCCCAGAAGCAAAACTGAGGAGCCGAGGAAGCTGCTGGCTACAAGGCAGCGAGAGGCAGCACTGTAATGACAAACCCATCCACAGGGGCCACACAGAATCATAGAATCACAGAATGCTTCGGGTTGGAAGGGACCTCCAGAGGTCATCTGGTCCAACCTCCCTGCACACGAAGGGACACCCAGAGCACGTGGCACAGGGCTGCATCCAAGTGGGTTTTCAAGATCTCCAAAGGAGACTCCACAACCTCTCTGGGCAGCCTGTTCCACTGCTCTGTCACCCTCACTGTTAAGACATGCACATCAGGGATACACTTGGGCTTGTATCCATCACCTGGGCTTTTGCCCACCAGCAGAAATCTCAATTCTCACTCTCCTTCTAAAGGACCACGTGGATCTCTGTCTCCACAAACAGCTTTAGGAAGGTGTTTTTCAGTTTGAGAAACTCAGCAAGTAATGGCAGCATCACACCCACGTTCACCCATTCCAGAGGATACAGGTCAATAGCTTTATCAGGAGATCGCATCTGCCTTGGTCTTTTATTGGTGTAATTTCAATTATATCCATGAAACTGGGAACCCTTCTGCACAGTAAAGGCAATACAGCATCATCCTAAAAGCAATCCAGCCTCAATGCAGTTTCGCTCTCACTTAGACCACGTTCTCCTGTCTCACCTGCAGTTACCTTTGCAACACTGTGCAACAGGAGAAGCTCCTACTGGCTTTCAGCAAACAATTTTCACTTTTATATTATTCTCAGACAAAGGAAGGGGAACCAAAAGGATGCCCAAAAGTGATATTTAAAAAGAGCAAATTGGAAAGCCAGCTGAGAGCAACGCTTCTGCACAGCCTGTAATTAGGGCTGTGGAAGTCCCTGCCGCAGGAAGGGCTGGAGAGCAAGCAGGCGGAGAGCAACGCGCTGAGGCCAAACAGCAACGGGAATTGGGAAGGGACCTGAAACCCCTGGTTTCACTCAATCGTTAACTAATATAGAGTTTCATGGAGCCCAAGACTCCAAGAAATGGGTTGCTGCATCTTTCCCGAAAGGATTGGTGTTGAGCACCACAGGGATGCGCAGCCCCTCGGAGCTGCACCCGGAGGAGTCCCGCACTTCATAGCGCTGACCTCAGCTTCGGGTTCAAGGCAGAGAGCTCTCATCACGGAGCACAGCAGCTCTTTCCAAGGAGCTGCCCTTGCGGAAGAGCTGGACCAGGGCCCTGGGCCGCTCCCTGAGGTTTGGTGGAGCGACAGATCTCCATGTGGCCACACTCGTGCCAGCAAGGCCGGGCAAGGAGAGCACTTTCCAGCACATGGAAGAATATGGACCTTGGTGACCACGTGTTGGGGCACCCTGATGGCCTAACACAGGTGTCTCCTATCACTTAAAACCAAGAGGCTCAATGAGAATGGATATGAGTTTTGCAGATGTGACCACAAACACGTGAGAGGGGTAGGAAAGATCTTTCTGATCACCACCTTTTCCACAAACCTCTTGCTCTCCAGGGAATCCACGACCTTTTGGGAAGCCCCATATATCATCTGAGAAGCCCAACAGGTAGTCATGCCCCATCCTACTTCTTTCCTTCCCACTATCTGGAAGGAATAAGCAAGGAAACCAACACAGAGAAATCACTTACTTTCTTCTTGCTGCAGTAGATCTGCCATTTCTTCTCCGCTGGCAGTGCAAACATTGCTTCTCTGTGCTTGTCAGTGAGGTCAAGTTCATCCTGAGAAGGGGAGAAAACACAAAACAAGCACCATGAGCACAGCCAACAGCAACCGTGCAGCCACAACCCCCCCAGACAAGTGATATAAATCAATGAGAGCTCCACTGACGCAGCGAGGCCAGGGTCACAAAGCATCGCCTCTCGCCCTATGGCTATTGATTTGTCTGGGTCAATGGCACTGATTATCATCCCGTTATTACTGACCGCTCCCTGACTCCTGCGCTGCAGCTGGCTGGCGAGGGCCAGCGGGCTGCAAACCTTTCTGCAGAGTTCCTCACAGGGAATGCCTTAATTATGGCTAAAAAAGGCAAGTATTTTACAAAGGACAGCCATGAAGTCAAGCTCCCCACGCACTGCAGCTGCTGGAGAGAGAACTTTATGGAGTTAAGAGCTCCAGAGGATAGATCACATCTAAGATAAGGGAAGAACAATCCAGTCTGGACCTTTCTTTTTCACCACCCTGAATAGCTGCTTCATCACCAAGGACCCCGGGAAAACCAGGCTGGCTCCGTCAACAACACTCTTGTCACCAAAATCCCCTGGCCACAAATGTGCCTATGGCAACATGCATCATCTCCCGCTCCAAATCCTGGACCAAAGACCCAAGGCGAGATCCCTGTTGTCTCTCATACCTGTTTTATGGGCAAAACAGGCAGCAGAGACCTGCCCAAGCCCATGCAGAAAGCCTATGGCTTTTGGGTTGTTTTCCAATATTTTGAAACACGAAGTGCTTTTTCCTAATACCCACAGTTCAAAAAGAGACATGCCCTCTCTGCTAAAAATGTACTAYGTGGTAGCTGGCAGAGACGAAGCTGTTTCCTGATTAAGACCTTTATTGGTTTATGTGATTTATTTTTCTTCAAAGGATACATCCATTTTCTCCTTTCAAGTCTCGGTTAGATCCGTGCCCTCCGCCGGGATGCCGGGCTGTTATCAAAGCATCACTGCTTCCCATTGCTGGATGTAGGTCAAAGCTTTTATCAGGGAATACACTGAATGAAACGCTCAGGCGGGGCTGGGAGGCTCATTTCCAAAGCCAACATTGATCCCACACCCATAGATGTCTCTTAAAAAAGCCACCACTGATGCCAACCCTTCTGCCGGAGGAGGCTCTGACGCAGCAGTGGAAGCTGCAGACCTGCCGTGGCCCCCAGCCAACTCATCACGTGCAATCAGTGGATTTAATTAAGAGGATCTCTGTTAAAAAATGCCAATTAATTCCACCAACTAAAAGAAAAACCCCCACACAGAGACTCATTACAGTGAATATTAACATCTGAAGTGGTTACGCTGGTAGCCACTGGTACCCCAGTCACAGAGACAGGCTCCATCTGGCGCAGGCTGGGAAGATGCTTATGGGAAAGACAGGTCCCTGCATTATCAAGCCCACAGACCATGAAGAAATTCAGCTGGTCTCATTAACGCTCAAATTGCATTCAATACGGATCAGTATCCAAGGAAAAGAGCCTTCAGCTATCCGGTAAACCAAGCCAAGGGTGCTCCAGCACGGCACACAGCAGTGGGAGCTGCAGAGTCCTGAGCATCTCCRAGCTGCTGCTGCCTGCAAGCTCCCCCCGTACATCCATTTCGGAGATGGGGTTCATTTCCCAAGGAGATTACCCCTCCAAAGAAAGGCGTCAGGGAGCTTTTGCAGTTCCACACGCTTGGAGAAGCTCCGCTTGCTACACGACGTTTTCCCCCTGTAGCGGTCGGCTCTTCAGACTGATGTGCAAACAGCCTTCCCRCGCTCGCCGAACACAACTGACATTTGTGGAGTGCTGGAAGCTGCCACTGCAACCGAAACACTTTTGCTGCCTTGATACAGACTTAGGGAAAAAAAAATGAGGTACAAGAAAGCTCAGTTTTACTCCTTTTGGACCYAATGCTTCTATTCAGGAGATGAGCTGCTGACATCCCAGCCCTGCTTCTGCCCCTGCTTTGCATTTTCTTTGCAAAAGCTCTCCAACAAGAAGATATATTATACAGCATCTAGCTAAAACGCAGGCTGTTTAAACTCGGCTCTTTGGAAAAGGGCATGTCAGGGAGGATGAGGATCCCATGCTAAATATTTACCACCGCCTTAAGTGCTACCCCAGTCTGGCTGAATGCAGCAGAACGCTGTCCCTGTGACCCTACTTCCCCGGCACGCGAATCTTCTATTCAGACATGGAAGCCACCACGACACACATCTGYAGTTAGACTCCTAGAAAAACATTTATTGAACCTTTCCCCAAAAAACTCACCCCTAAAAAAACATGCACAGAACTGAAGGTTTATTACCCAAGGAGAAATATAAACGGAGCTGAAGCCTAAGCGGGAGCAGGAACGAATAAAGCAGCAGGACGTGTTCGATGTGGCTCTGTGACAAGGTGCAAACACATCCGAAACGGGTGCAGAAATGCTTTGCCACCTCATGCAGAACATTTCCCTCGCCCAGGCTCCAACACGTTCAGTCATCGCAGCCCTGCGTTACTCAGATACACCCACCTAATGATAACTAATGAGATGCTTGGGAGAGATGTTTAAGCAAACACAGTGGGGCAACCAGTGAGTATGGAAATCCTCCTAATCAAATAGTGACTAATGACTGTTATTTCAAGCAGTAAAAGCAACTGAATAGTCAAGAATCAGCTTTTTGTTGTTACGTAGGGGTGTGGAAATCCATGTGCCCACCTTGCTAGACTTGAGGAGTCCCTTCGGTCACCAATGAGCACCTCAGCACTCAGCAGCCCCACACAGGCAGCTCAGCTCTGGTCCTTCCAGTGCTGGAAGATGAGCTGAGGATGGGAAGACTGGCTGTTTTCCAGGCATTCCCCATCCACCAAAGCCTTGAACTATCGTGCAGTGGAGTCCTGACACCGTTGGGAGGCTGGGTGCAACCTCAACCCAACGCTCCTCCAATCAATAATCATGAACTCAATCGGGTGATTCTGATCAGCAATTAATTTTAAGGCCCGTCTGCAAGCACACAACATCTAAGAGGAAGAGTGAGAAGACAACTGTGCACATCGGGTTCCCTCCAGCCCCAACGAGCACCCAGAGCCCCCACTGCTCTGCCCCTCCACACCTGGCCTTCTCCCGGGGCGAGATTTGCCAACTTTGCCATTTTTAAGCATTCTCTTGGAAGCAGGTCAAAGGCACAGAACATAACAGCTTCATTTTGCTACCAAAAGGAAGTCTCTGCCCAGAGTGTTTTTACTGGAAAGAGATATGCTGCTCTTAAATATTTATCCCGTACAGTTAAACTATTAACCTTTAGATCAGGAAACGTGTTTCCACATTAAATATCCATTTGAATACGCTTCAGAAAATTCATAGTGGGGATCTCATTCTAACCGTTCAAATGCTATTTCTAGGAGGTAAAATATGTCTGTGATTTGCTTTGCTGATGGCTCACAGCTCTCTACCCAAGCCAAGCAAACTTCCTCTTCCTTCCGTGCATGATGTGAGCCTCTAGTGAATGCAATAACACATCATTCAATGAAAGCCACCTTAGAAATATGTGGTTTTGGCTCAGCACGGTGTAGGTAAGACCCTAAGGGTCARACCTGTATTTTTACCCTGCCCTACATTTTTTCCTTGGAAGAGCCAGAATGGTTCTTCTGGAGACGTTCGTGGGCCTCAAGCAGACTGGTACCTGGAGCCCCAGCTGTGGTGGCATCACTGCACTGGTTGAGGTGACTCATCCAGGACACCCTAGTGCAAGATGTCACCTCCATCCAAGCAGATCCAAAAGATGGATTCAGGGTGGGTGATTCAAACCCCATCCCTAGATGAGGCCAAGAGCCATGGCCATTGCTCCCTCCCTTCCCAGACAGAGCTGCCAACTTCCAAGCTGTGCACGAACAAGCTCTGGAGAYGGCACGGAAGGAGGCAGAGGCAGCACTCAGACAACCAGGGCAAAGCCAGGCAAGTGGAAAGGCTGCCAAGGAGCCCTGCTCTTCATCAGTGCAGGGACAGGGGCAGCTGAGCCTGAACTGGAGAGCTCCTCCAAGTCCGTGGTTACTCGGAGGCTTYGCTGATGCACACTTGCCAAAAATACTGAATCACAGCCCATTCCAGCAGCGACAGCATCAGCCAGGCACTGAGTCAGAAACAACTCTGCACTGGGAGAAGCCTGGAAAGACGGAGGCTGAGAAGACAAGGCAGGAGAGGAACAGAGCCCGACCCTACCGCAAGAACTGCCAAGTTTGTAGGCAACACTCTCCGTTGCATGACCTCTTCATGGATCACACACCRAAGTTCTGCTGGGAGAAATGTTTGCAGAAAAGGCATGAAACTGCAGCCCTGGCCCTGCACGTTAAGCTGCCCAAGAGCAATGCAGGTTCTCACAAGCATCCTCAGTGTGCTCAAAGCCACCAGGAGGGGACAGGAGGCCACGTGGGAGAAGACAAGCCACCAGTACAACCACCCCCGCTATTTTCATGCTTTTACCCAGGCATTGGCTTTTCCTATCAACAACTCCCAGATTCCATGTTCCACCTAAAAAATTGGCAAGAAGTAGCTAGGGACTAAACTCATACCTAAGAGACAATTCCCAGTACAGGGGYCTGCATCTATAATTCGAAAAACCAGAACACATGAAGGAGACTGAGAAGAGGGGGGAAATTATGTCATCAATGGCCATAATTGAAATAAAACCATGAAAAGGTGGCTACTTTGGAGCTTATATAAAAATGTATAAAAGTGTCTATATATATACACACATACACAYATATATATACACATATATACACACACATTCACAGATCAGGTACAAAGAAAGACCCAACTACATCAGTAAATGGACAACACAGTGACGAGTAAGTGAATTTATTCCCAATGGATGGATGCCCAGAGCTGAAAAACTTCCGTGTAAGGCCTACAAGGAGACCAACAAGAGGGAAACATAACAACAGTGTCTCCTTCCCCCAAAAATAATGCCTGAGAGATCCAGATTGCTTAAAATAAGAAAAAAGAGATAACACTTTTTGACAACATGCGGCATCAACTAGCACAGC